CACATTCACATATACGACATGCATCGCCAGGAAAGCTTATTTAAGAACGCTGAAAAATTCGATCCTGACCGTTTTCTGCCTGAAAATAGTGTTGGACGACATCCTTACTCGTATATCCCCTTCAGTGCAGGACCTAGAAATTGTATAGGTAGGTTAATATTGGTGGTTATGAAGCTTGGCAAGATCTAGGTTAGGGAAACTTCGATATTAACAATAGCAGTAATACCACTTTCTTTTTGGCTATAGTTAAACCCGGTTAGCACACTATGCGGGTCTAGCTTGGTTATTCTTACCAACTAGCACTATTTATTGCAGGTCAAAAGTTCGCAATGATGGAAATGAAGTCAGCGCTATCAGCTTTACTGAAAAATTACAAGCTGTTACCAGTTACAACATCGAAAGATCTTGAGTTTATAGCTGATTTAGTTTTACGAAATTCAAAACCTATATACCTTAAGTTTATTAAACGACATTGATGATTTAACAAATTGCTATAGATTATATTAGATTGTTTAACCCTAAGTACCTATTGTAGTCATATTTATTACCAAGTTTTGTAGTATTAAAATAAAATATCGGTTTGTTAATTCCTTTTTTACGTATAATTTAGGATTATGTTAGCGTCCTTTAAATCTAAACAGTACATGATCATGAAAAATAAAATGAAATAAAATATGTTTATTATGGAACATAAGATACAAATATCACTTATTCCACGTCATTAAATTTGAATTTGTGGGCACCCCTACTCATCGGCAAAGAATACAGAGGGTGTGTATCTTGTATCTTACGTACTTGATCTTCAACTAAAACTAAAACACAAGCAAGTGTTAATTGTGTACATAGAAAGAAACGTTTAGACTCACAGCTGGGGTTCTTACGCACGTTCTTGTGCACAAGTCTGAGATAAGTTCTACTTACATAGAATATAAATAAACACAGTGGAACCTCAAGGGAATGGCAAAGAAAGTGGAGTTAACGAGTTTTCGACTTAACAAGAACTTTGAGATAAGTACATATCATTTAATTGCTAAAATTTCGACTTACAGAGGCGGGATTTCTAAGTGTATTTTTCGATTTGTAGAGAACTTAAGTTTTGTAGTATATATTTTTTTATGAATGTATTTATTCATTGCACGTGTACAAGACAAAAACAATATATTAGAAGCCCCAAACCCGAACATTCATTTTGCATTTTATTACTATTATTTCGGAAAATTTCAAGTAAGACGTAATTATATTTTACTGAAATTCGAGTTATAGAGTATAAATATGTATTATCAATACTTCGTAGGGAAATAACATTTTGTTCGAGTTACAGAGTCTACATAATTTGAGATACCGTTCAGCGGAAGGGAATGGCAATTTTTTCGACTTACTAAGGATTTCGACTTATCGAGGTTCGAGTAATCAAGATTTAATCTAGGTTCAAACAATTAGTTTTCTAAAATTATTTCTTGTATAAAGAATATTTATGACATATTAACCTCATGAGCTGAGATCGCCACTGTCATGGTATGTGTTAGAGAACAGAAATAGTGACGAACAAACAAAAATAATATCAAACTCACTAATATAAAAAGGAGGAAAGATTTTAGAATAGGCAACAATATTCTTTCACCATTAGTCTTGCATTGCCCATTGCAGATCGTTATGAAAACTTCGATAATGTAACCCAAAGTGTGAAAAAAATACCGATAAAAATCCCTGTATCACGTAGGTTTGCTACGGAAACTGTTGATTTGGGGTCACCTGCGATTTGTTGTATTTTTTGTAAGTAAATGTTTAATTAATTAAATATCCAGCCGAACGAAACCGCGACTGATCGCTAATTAATCATATAGGTACACTTATGCACGTCCATAAAATAATTATTCTAGATTTACATTTATTACATGTTCTTACAACGCCTCTTGTATATGTCCGTCCGGTAGGGATACCTATTGCTTCCATTTATTTTTGCCCAGCATAGCAAGACATTTACTACATGCATCTCTACTCGGTTTATCAGACATTATGCTGTGTTTCGCATTGATATAACAGTGCTACTATGGCACGTAAATTAAATATCACAACATAGTTTATTTTTGCAGGCGCTTAGTAGAAGGAACGGTCTGAAAAATATTTCAGTGGACAATAGTCCATGAAGATTCATTCGTCGACAAATATTAGAACTATTTATAGATTCGCACAACATATTTATATATTCTTGGCGCTCATACACCACTATATTAATATGTGACTGGCTGAAAGCTTCAGTTGAATGAGATTGTGATACTCTGCTAGTTGTATCGCAAGTGTTTTGTGAACTAAATTTTCACGCATGCGTTACGTTCCAAAGTGTAGTTTTGAAGAGTTCGTTATGGCTTCGGACAGTAACTTTGAGGTATGATAACAGCTTCTAATTTTTTTCGTCTTAAGCCCGCAACCAGCAATTTAATCATAGATTTTTGGGGTGATTCACCACAGTTTTTAATCGCTACAAATTTTTATGGAACTGAAATTTTTAACTAGAAATTTAGATAAAAAAAAACAAAAAATTATTTATTTAACTAATAATAATTAGTTAAATAAATAAATTTTACGCAAAATTATAAAGTACGAAAATATTATGTCTGCAAATTGAAATATATTTTGAATTGCTGTAAAATTCCTAGTTTTACGAAAACGTATTTCTTATAACAAGAAATTTGGGTATGCAAATTTATTTCAACCATATTTCCTAATAATTCACGACAGGCTCTAGAAAGTATCTTTAAAGTTAACACCAAATATATATGCCTTCTTAATTTACAATAAACTTTTAGTCTTGTAGATTAAATATGTGAATATAATTTTATATATAGTGTTATAAATGCATTTATAATACGTATATTATATATTGTGAAAATTACTTAATAAGAATATGAACTGTATAATCTGATATAATCAAAAGAATTAGAGGGGTTTTCAAACATAATTCAAGAGATTATATATACGGTTCTATAGTCAATTGAATTATAATTATTACTGAGTGAGTATTAGAAGGTTGACGGTCATCGGTTTTGGATGAAATGTCTTATTATTGCCAATTGTAACGATGATCCAATTAATTATTTCAACCATATACGGAAAACCAGAAAAATGCTTTATTTATATGGTAGCTTTTAGTCAAGCTAGTCTTTATTTAAGAAGTAGAATATAACGCCCTATTTTAAACATGGTCAGCGACCTAAACCTGAAGTCAGTGAAGGTGGCCTTAAAGATTAACTTTTCCAAGAGAAAGCTATGACAAACATCTAAGGAACCAGACAACAATTTCATAGGGATTTGAAACGTAAGCTGAAGTTGAGAGACGTATTACGCAGGCATGGGCAGCTTTTGGAGCGAATGGAGATATAATGCACCCTGCATTATAGCACCCCTTTTTTATAGCACTCATCCAGCCTGTCTGTTCAGACACTATCTTGTCAGTTATGGATCCGAAAATATAACGCTCTCACAACGTACAACGGAAAGCCTGAGAGTCGCGCAGCGGGCGATGGAGCGTGGAATGCAATGCTTGAATGGAGGCCTCAGCAGAACAAAAGACCCCGCAGCCGCCCTTTAGATGGCATGGAATGACGACATCATTAAGGAGCTTGGCTCCCAGTGGATGCAGAGGCCAGTGCAGAGCGTACTATAGGAAGAGGAAGGAGGTCTACGTAGAAATGGACCAAAAAAAGAGGCTGATGATGATGATGATTTCAACCTTAAAAATATTTACTTCCTCAGTAACAAATGCCTATTGATCTGTTTTTTGGTAATATGTAACGATAAACTTGTGGTCTGTATTAACACTTTAGTAATATTATGTCTACTAGGTATGCAGATAAAGAAGTTCCTCAATAAATTGGTTTGTTTTTATTACATAATAATCACTGTAATTGTCATTCATTACCAGAGAGACCAAAGCAGCAAAATCGATAAAACTTTTGTTTGCATTATGTTTGTTTTTATCGTTTCTTTTCTAAAGCGGCACATAACAAATTATGGAGCAATTGAACGTATACGTTTAGTAGTAGGTGGGTTTTTTGAAGTTGAATGAGAAGTAAATATTTATCAATAGGTATAAAGTTAATGTTTGAATTGATGAAGTACTTAAAAGTAAAGACTTCCCAATGGTAGCCAAGAAAAAGGGTGTTCAATCTATGTATCCTACCTTGTGTTACATACGGCTGCCAGACTTGGACATTATCTCAGAAACATCTTCTATAGTTGAGAACATGCCAAAGAGGAATGGAAAGAAGCATGGTAGGTGTAACACTGAGACATCGAAAAAGAGCAGAAGAGATAAGATCAGCGACCAAAGTAGAGGACACTATAAAGAAAATAAGGTAATTGAAATGGCGCTGGACCGGTCACCTGACGAGAGATAGCAGGTTGAAATGGACAAAAATAATTACGGAATGGCAACCACGCGATGGAAAAAGGAAAATAGGAAAACAGAGCAAGAGATGGGCAGACGATATAAAGAGAATAGGAGGCACAATTCGGACAAATAGAGCTAACATCAGAAAAGAATGGTGGAAGCAGCTGGAAGAGGCCTATATGTCACAGGACACTCTGACTACCTTAACGGGTCAAGTGACGTATTAGATTAAGTTTTATTTATGATTTAGAATTAAGTTTTTTTATGTAACTTAAATGAGTGTTAATATATTATACTGGTTGTCAGCAATAAAGGCTTAATAATAACAATAAAAAGCTAATGTTTAAGAGATAAAACATTGGTAGTCTGGAAATAAACATATATTAGACCAATTTAACTAAACGTGACTTAAACACACCTACTACACAATTACTTATTAAAATATTTGATTAACACGTAAACGGCGCGTCATACGAGTAAATAAATTAGATAAACCTGAAAATCACTATTCTATTGAAATCGCAAGTTGGACCTACTCAGTTCGCGCATGCGCGTCGTCTAGGAGCTTCGCACCGTCAGTATCCCTCATTTTTCGGAACCGCCTTCAGCAATGAATACGCGTCAACTTCGCAAAATTGCCGTAGCCGCAAAATCATTGCAGAAACAACAATCGTCATGTATCTGTAACCGTTATTACAGTCAAGTGAGACCCGTTTATGTAATAGAAAGACCTGTAAGTGTTCCTTTTCCATCATTAAAGTGCCCCTAAGAGTCTAAACCTTGACCGCTATGGTGATTTTAAACCTTTTATTTCAGAAATGGAGAAATTCTGCACAAAGTTTCTACGCTGCTCAATCCATTGATGCAAGGTTAGTTGATACACAATACTCAGACACTTCAATTACATTGCAATATAAAATGATAAAAAATAATCACTCATATGAAGAATTCTATTGAAAATAAATTAATTTTAATGACCCACATCGACTCCTATTGATCTCGTAATATGAACGTATTGATATAACAGGCGCCGGCAGCAAGTCTGTCTCACCCCTGACATTTAAAATTTCACTATAACGTTTAACTAAACATAATTAGGTAGTATCATAGGATGTTATACGTAACACAAAATTAGAAATCTTAAGATAAGATAAGGGGATTCGACTTTTTAGTAACAGCTTAAAATGCAGTAATTTCTCGCTTAGGAATACAAAATCAGTAAATTTTGTAACATATATTATGTAGGTTTCTACTCATTGGAAAACTATTTGACTACTATTAAAATCGTAAAAAAAATTACCATAATAATACAATAACAAGTATTTATGGATATTATTTTAATAAAGTAGTGAAAAGTAACATGAATATTTTAATATTTGCTGTAATAATAAATTAATACATTTTCAAGACTGAAAATTATTATTAAAATAAGATACATTGTTATCTAGTAAGATAAGCAGCTGTCTCGTAACTGCAGAAATTATTATTAATATATGTAAATTTAAATAAGCGGAAAATGATTTTTGTTTTTAATATAATTAGGTTTTAATGAAAAAATATTATTCGATAATATTTATTATTATTAATACTCAAATTATTTCGTATCTTGGGTCGTTGAAATTTAACTATGTTGTTCTTAATTTTCATGCTGCAGATTCTACTCATTCGTTCACAACATAGACCCTGCGTAAGTATGAGTGTTGCATGACTTGAGCAAAGCTACTTAATAAATTATGTTATGATTTTGCATGCATATAAAACACACCTACCAACAACTAATAGACATTTCGGTTATTTTTCGTACATTCACAGTGTACGCTGTATTGTACCTATTAAAAAATATATACATAAAATGAATTTTGTATTTTAAATTATAAAACTAAATTCGATAGAGTCCGTCACTACTTATGAAATACATTCAAAAAGCACATATAAACTATCAAACAGACAGATGTCTATATCTCTTTTATCGAATTTAAATTAGATATAACTTAATAATTTCATTGTTTACTTCTATCGTAGTAATTATAACGAATATAAAGAAATCATCAATAACGCACAGCCGTAGTTCAAACGCACTCGCACGCTCAAACTTGAAGAATTTCGCTGTACTATATTTTATATTATGAATATTAATAAGAAATTTGCTGACGTGTGCTCAGTCATAGATGCTTCGATTATAATTGGAATCTTAAATATTTGCATCGCAATAAGCGAGAATGTTCCTTTGCAGTGTTATCATAATAGAGGCTATAATTTTTTACGTCTACAATTTAGGAACATTAAATTTATAAACATTGGTCAGTGGTCTGGTAAAAGTTAGAGAGGTCATATTCGTAGTACATATATGATATCGAATTTTGATATTGTAATGAAGTAATTAATAATAATAAAAACATTAAATAATTATTCTTATTATTTTACATTTAATAATTTATTTTTGCTTTAAATGTCTGCATATAATGCTAAAACCTAGACGTTGAACTTAGAAAATAACATTTAGGATTATTAATATATTTTCTGTGATCAATATTTCTATAAATATATTCCAGATTTAGGACTCCGGAGGAAAGATTCGAAATTCTAGATTGAACGGTAAAAAAATAACATAAAAACCCCGACCTTTGGTAGAATATTTTTTGGTTTATATTAGACTGTATAATCAAATCGTATTACGAATTATGTCCGTGTACAGCCAGCTTAAAGGAAACGCGTTTTTAAATCTTAGTTTACTCGTAATTTGCCTAAAGTATGTGTAATTTCAAATTTATATTTTGGTCACGAGCCAACATTGTCAGGTGATGTTGACTGTTACAAGTTACAACTACGTTGCGGACACACCCGCCTACGTCACTCAAACTCACTTCAACAACATAATGTATTCGTGATCATGGAATTTACTGTAGATAAGATAACAATAATTATTTTTAACGCTTCTACGTGTATACTGCCTAGAATGTCAGTTTCCATTAACAACTTTGTGTAATTTTTATTGAATCACTTACAGGGTAAAAGAAGGATCACACAAAAATGCCGATGATGTACTGTTTGACATGTTCAAGAACGAGGAAACAGGATTACTACCTGTTGGAAAGTTCTTGGCTGTAAGTTAAATACACTATATTTTTCTATCAATGCCCACTGTACTGCATTAAGATCAATGCGTTTAGAGTGGTGCGATTCTGGACCAATAACACAGAAAATGACTATCTACCATCATGACTTTTTAAATCGCAGGCTCTCCGAACCACCGGAATAAAAAAGAATGACCCAAGAGTTAAAGAAGTTATGCACAATCTGTACAAAGTACATAAAGAATCTAACTTCGAAGGAGGATCGCCAGAGACACTCAAGTTGGATAAAACGAGATTCAAAGAAGTCATTGCACCAAACATAGTGTTGATAACACGTGCATTTAGAAGTCAGTTCGTTATTCCCGATTTTCAAGATTTTATCAAAGATATTGAAGAAATGTACTGGACAGCAAAAAGTATTACGGATGGAAAAGTAGCAAGTTACATTCCGCAACTGGCTAGAGCTAATTCAGACAATTGGGGAGTAAGTGTTTGCACAATTGATGGACAAAGGTTTTCCATAGGTGAGAAAATAAAAATATATTTTTATGAAGAGATTACGGTGTGATTGGAAAGAAAACGTAATTATTTAGGATGGTCGCCGATAAGCGTAATTCTGACCGGGTTAAACCAGTTATAAAGTTGTCTATATACAACAAAATTAAAAAGTAACAAGTTTTTATAAAGTTGTATGTATTTTTTTGGAATATGTGCTGTTGAGAAGCACCATTGGTGAAACATACTCGTACCTTTACCAGTCATCGTAACATTTTCAGGAGATGTAAATGTGCCATTCACTCTACAATCTTGTAGCAAGCCGTTAACATATGCAATGGCACTTGAGACGCTTGGCCCCGACGTCGTTCATCAATATGTTGGCACCGAGCCCAGCGGCAGAAACTTCAATGAACTGGTTTTAGATCATAACAGTAAGTCATTTAACAAAAAATAACATATTTATTAAATACCTTAACCCATAGTTACTTTTAGTACTATTACATACAATAATGTAATAGGTAAATGCCAAATTTTTCATTGATATAACTTTCGTGATTTTCATGAAGTACAACTTTTCAGTGAAGCCGCACAATCCCATGATTAACGCGGGGGCAATATTAGTCTGTTCATTACTAAAGTCTTTGGATAAGCCTGAAATGACCTTGGCGGAAAAATTTGACTACGTAATGTCTTTCTTCAGCCGTCTAGCTGGCAATGAAGTATTGGGTTTCAATAACGCGGTATTTCTGTCGGAGCGTGAAGCAGCCGATAGGAATTACGCACTAGGTTTTTACATGCGAGAGCACAAATGTTATCCCGATAAGACTAATTTACGAGAATGTATGGATTTCTATTTTCAGGTACTGTACTGTAAAACAATTTAATATAATAGAGATTTTTCTTCATTGATGACATTGAGGAATAAAGTTTTGTCAATTTATCTTTTTGAATGAAATAAAATAACTTTATTTAAATTTTCTGACTCGATCTTACATTGCAGTGCTGCTCTATGGAAGCTAATTGCGACATAATGACGATTATGGCTGCAACATTAGCTAATGGAGGAATCTGCCCCATTACGGATGAGAAAGTCTTAAGACCTGATTCAGTGCGAAATGTTCTTTCACTTATGCACAGTTGCGGAATGTACGACTATTCCGGACAATTTGCCTTTAAAGTAGGATTACCAGCGAAGTCAGGAGTGTCTGGTGCTATGCTTATAGTGGTACCAAATGTTATGGGTATATGCACATGGTCGCCACCGCTTGACCCTTTAGGAAACAGTTGCAGGGGCTTGCAGTTTTGTGAGGTGTGTTATCTAATATATAAAATTCTCGTGTCGCGGTGTTTGTAGTTTTTAAACCCCTCCGAAACGGCTTGACCGATTCTCATGAAATTTTGTGTGCATATTGGGTATGTCTGAGAATCGGACAACATCTATTTTTCATCCCCCTAAATGTTAAGGGTAGTCCACCCCTAAATTATATTTTTTTTAATTTTTAGATAACATTTTTTTTATGATACAATCATTAAAAAATACATACAACCCCTAATTTTCACCCCTCTACGATCAACCCCTATTTTTTATTTTAAATGATATACATGGCAAAACGACGTTTGCCAGGTCAGCTAGTATTTTATAGATAAAGAAATTACCTTCAGTATATAGGGTTTCCCATTAGAAACTATAAAATTATAACATCCTGTTAGGTTAGGTTAGGTTCACGTGGACGTAAAAGCAGGATGGATTGACACAACTTAACAAATATATTTGCACTGTAAAATGACTTTGATAAATATATTATTCGTTAATTATTTAATTACCTTTTCAGGAGCTAATAAAGCGGTTCAATTTCCATAAATACGATAACATTCGTTATGCCAGTCACAAGAAAGACCCTCGCCGTTACAAATTCGAATCCACCGGACTTAGTATTGTTAATTTGTTGTTCTCTGCTGCAAGTGGAGATTTAAGTGCACTAAGGAGGTTTGTACCTATAGTCTTTATTTTAATATTGTATATTATTCCTAAAAAAGTTGTATAACTATTAAATTTTTGTCAGAACATCAAACCAATCTAAAGAACCTGAGAAGGTGACCCCAACCCCAGACAAAGACAATTTACAGTAACCCAAGTAATGATTGTCATGCTTAGAAACTCGATATGCTATTATAAATTATATACGATCCATCATCATAGGCAAATCGATATTTTCTTGCTAATAAACACATCACGATTGTATTACTAGGTACCAACATTATCGAATTATTTTGAGTTACGTCGCTTGGGTGGAAACTTACACTTTATTTTTCACTAAGTTTACTCGTAGTAATTACTATTATGTTTTTTTTGCCACTGCTTAGAAGCTCCAAGTATCACATTTATTTTCTCTGATCTAACACATTTCTGTAATTTAGACAACATCTTTCCGGCATGGACATGACGCTATCTGATTACGACGGACGTACAGCATTACACCTTGCTGCTGCTGAAGGGCATCAGGCATGTGTGGAATTCCTCCTGGCTCAATGTAATGTACCCCACGACCCCCAGGACCGTTGGGGCAGTCGACCCCTTAATGAGGCGGAGACTTTTGGACACACATCTGTAGTGGAGTACTTGAAAGAATGGGAAATAACTCACCCGCTTGGAATGGAGCCCAAACCCTCATCTTCAGTTGATGACATTTTGGACGTCCAACCTCAAGCTGATGATCCCGTAAACGATCCAAGCATCCAAGAGATAGTGAAAAGAAATGGCGATAAAGTAAATTAAAATAACGTGGAATTGTTGAATCAGATAAAAAGTATATTTTGGTGTTGTTAGGTACCTATTTATATCTATAGTAGATACTGTGTACATTTATGCCAATAGAAAATACAATTATACTTGCATTTCCCAGTGAAACACCTTTTAAAAGTCACTTAAAATCTGGTAAACTAGGTAAATATCTTTGTTAAACATATATAAAACTCTTGTAAAATAAATAGTTTTGTGTTTATGTGGTCAATGATAAATGATTACAAACTTATTTAATTAAATAAAAAAAGCAGCTGTCAATTATGTTAAATTACAAGCTTGATTGATTTAAAATACAGGATGTCAAATTTATGAATAATTGTAACATCCAATCACTCTATGATCTAGTTTTGTATGTTGTGTACTACACATTATGCCATTGTCTACGATTATAGAAGAAATTGCTTAATTTAAAGCTGTGATATTAATTTTAATCTCAATACATAATTACTTGCTTACTACATATTTCATATAAATTATATTTATGTCCAATAATAACACAAGACATTCCATGAAATATGTCATTTATCATATTTTTCTCAGAAAAGTTAACAATTTGTTACTGGAATGTTAAATATCTTAATGTAGCTTTTATCTCAAATATGACAATAAAATTTCTAGTAATAATTCTATGTGTGTTAACTGAATCTACATTAAGTAGGTATATTGTTAAATTCAATATTATGTCAATTAAAGTTGAAAAATAAATGATTGCCACTTATTTGACCCCACTGTGCAATTCAAGCAGTTATATCATTTACATGTAAATAAAAATAATAGCGAGTGGAGCCTGACCCTAAAGTCAACATGTTTTTATTACAATATGTGATCATCTTGTAAGTCAACCCAGTTTCACTTATAAAAATGGCACAAATATGAAAAAGGCATCAAAGGATCCACAGAAATTTTTTTAACATGGCCAGAAAGTATATTTTATCTTGCTTTTGGAACACTAAAATATACATGTACAATACATGACCCAAAAAAACAAACAAATATTCAGGATTTTGTGTAATAAGCAATTTAAATAATAGTTAATATTTATTACTATGCACTAACAACAATTACAAATTTATGAAATACATATACACTAATTACTCCTTTCACTAGGTTTAATAGGACTTGATACAATACCTAGTAACTTACAATCCGCTTCTAGCAGAGTCAGATCAGTACTAGAGCCAAGAAATCTAGATGACAATTCAAGGTCTTTAATTTGTAATCTTACTCTTGCACCTCTCACATATTCTTCAGCTCTTGTAGAAGGCCGATTGCACACACAATGAAACTTCCAACCAAAATCAATATACAAGTCATCTTCTACAACATGAAATATTTTTCCCACAACAATTTTTCCTACTGGGTCACCAAGCTGAAAATAAGTCACACTGATTAGCATATTTTTAATAAATTAAATGGTTTATGATACATTGATTCTAACTCCTACTGTAATACTTTATAAGGCTTAACTAAGTAGTTCTAGCGTCATAAATTCCTCCCTATTTAAAGTATTCATAGGAATCATGAATTATGCTTACATCAATAAGTTTTGAATTCCGGAGTAGTGATGCAAACGTAGGCGGAGGGCCGCTGGTTTCCTCAAGAATATGGCTTTGTTTTTCGAAGGCTTTTGCAAATCCACCAACTTTTCCTGTAGATGTATCATCAAGAGTTTGAGAAGTCAATATTTTAGTAGTGCTTAGATTGCGCGTAATTGGCAATTTCAACTGTTTTAACTTTCTACTCAAGGGAAGCAACCACGACATTATTCAGTTTTTATTTTAAACTTTATTATCTTTTATTACAATTTAAATAAATTTTGTAAACATTAGTATAACCTCACAAGAGTCAATACAGACAAAACTGTGTTCCAACTTCCACAGATGAGTTCTGCGATTTCATTAGACATAGATATATCATTTATTACAAACAAAAACACACACACATAAACACACAAAATAACAATAATCAAAGTAAAAAAAACTTAAATAAAAAATATAATGAGAGATATGTAAAACAAAAATTTATTTTTCCTTATTATATTATATTATACTTATCTTTACAGCGAAATGGTCACTTATATCTATATTTTATACATAACTTACTATACAGTATCTATTCTATATCTATTATCTATATAATGTCATCTATGCTCTACGGTCACAACAGACAACAGTCACACTTGCCAGTGCCACAGACTAGGGAAACTATGAAAACTATGCACGTCAGGTAATGAATGAAATACTTATTAATTATCAAATATCAATGTCAATATAAAATTTTAAATTGCACACGCATCAACGTCACATCATAGCATGGAAATCGGAATTGTTCAATATTTTTCATCATGCTAAGTTTTATATAGTATTGAAATAAATAAAAATGACCGAAGACCAAGATGCGAAGGATTCCCATTCGGAATTCAGGCAGTAAAACTTTTGTCAATAAGAATAAAGACAAAAAAGCGAAACCACAGCGACCCCTCACAAAAGTAAGTTGACACAACTGGAAGTAGCCTCATTTAAGTTTAATATTTATTATTTCATATCATAAGAATGTTTATTTTAGATTATATTACGGCGATTGCCTGCAACGATGACGGAAGAGGCATTTCTTGAGCAGGTGTCTCCGATACCTGAACACGACTATTTCTATTTTGCAAAGCCAGACACGTCTCTTGGTAACAATATTTACTCGAGGGCTTACATTAACTTTGTAAATGTTGACGATATTTATCTGTTTAGGGATAAATTTGATGGATATGTTTTTTTGGATGAAAAGGGTAAGTTTTAGTTTTTTGTCTAATAAGATTTAAGTCAACCTAGTTATTTTGATACAAAATTTCAATTTATCAAATAAAAATTATACCTTTTTGAATTAATTTATCTTGTAGGCTTTAAGGTATAGTATATTATTTACTTAATTCATCTGTGTCCCTAGCAGCTACTAAATTGTTTCTGTTTTAGGTTTGGAGTATGTTGGTATTGTGGAATATGCACCATTTCAAAGAATTCCTAAGAAAAAGAAGAAAAAGGATCCAAAATGTGGAACTCTTGAAAGTGATCCAATATATCAGGAATTTTTGGAATATCTCAGTAAAGACCAAGAAGCTGACACCCAACCGAAACTGGAATATTCATATCCTGTAAATGATGGTAAGATAGAAAAGCCTTTGACACTTACAATTTGATAGAGGAATTGTATTTAGTGTGTGCATTTGATTTCTGTGAATAGTAGTGGAATTCCAGCAATATTTGGTTACTGTTTAGTATTTTGTTTGAAATTTTTATTATCTTCCATTGAATGCCAAATAGTAGATATTCCAGAACCTATTCTAATGAATACAGAATACTAACAATATATTTTGATGTAGTAAAAAAAATTGATTGTCTTTATAGTATAACGTGAATTTTTAATTGTTCATTAGAACAAAAGTATCATTCTCTCGAAATATTTGTTGAAGGTCTAATGAATAGTTTTAATACTGTTAACATAATATTGTATTATTTCACTTTAATTTATATTCACATGACATACTCTACTAATGGTCCACTATGTTATGTTTCAGGCAATGAGAAGAAAGTTCAAACAACACCACTGCTTGAGTACTTAGCTGCTCGAAAACAAGACAAAAGAGGTAGAGATGAAAGACGTAGGCGTGAAAATGACAAACGTAAAATGAGAATTGAAAGGAAGTCTAAAGATTCTTCAATCAGAGTAAGTCTTTTATTGTGCTTATTTCTTAATAATAAAAATATATTTTGAAGATACAAGTACTTAATTATGTCATAGAAATATGGAGATCTGTCTGATGATGAAAGCTATCACGATAGAAATGAAATTGTCAGAAAATATAACAAGCAGAGTGCATGGTATGGAGAGCAAAGAATTTATCATAAAACCAGAAGTTGCAATAATAATATCAATTTTGAATTAAATGATTTAGTGAAATGTCAAGGGTCTGAGGACATAATCAATACAGGCTCTGATTGGAATACCCAGTTTCCAGCTCTTACTATGAAAACACATAATACTTTTACTTTAACTTCATCAAAAGCTAGTGATAAGCAAGATGCTGTTGAAGTTAGTCAGAAATCTGGTGGTGACCCTTTTTTAAAGGTTCAGTTTTAGTTCATGATAACAATTGTTAAAAGTATTTTAGATTGTGATATGTTATTGTAAATAGAATAATTATTTTAAAACATATTGTGTTTCTTTAGTTCTTATATGTATCATAATATTATCTGTTGTTAAATATGTAATTGTAAAAATAATATATTTAAATATTAGCAGATATGAAGTAAACTAATTAAATGATATGTTGAATGTTATCTATATTTATTTTAATTACAACTATTTACAGGAAGAAGATATTATTATAGAGAATGATGTTAAAAAGATCAAGCCAAGAGAATGGGAAAAAGACAGATCCAATGATGTGAAAGATGATAGTGACATTTATGACTCACACTCTTACAAAGATCGCAAAATAGCGTTTGTCAGTGACAAAAAAAAGAAATTTGATGATAAAAAGGGAAGCTATAAAGGTGAAGAAGATCTCGATGAGTTTGATATAAAAAAAGACAAGTGTGAAAAAATTGATTCCCCTCGAGAACAAAAAAGTAAAAAGTACAGCGATTCAAGGAAGGAAAGATTCAAACTCACTGATGCTAAATCAGAGAAGCCATCAGCTATAAATAAAATGATGTCTGAAAAGCCCAAGACCTTGAATCATGATGATATAAAACCATTTACACAGTTGCCTCATGTTAAAACAGAAGATCTGAGTAAACTCTTGGAAAGCAAATCAAAGGGTGAAGATACAAAATTATCAAAAACTGAAAAGATAAATAAGAATATTAATAATACGAATGATATAAGAATGAGAAGAAATAGCTTGGAGCCAGGAGATTTGAGTAAAGAAGGAAGCCTAGAAAGGCAGAAATCTTTAGAGGATAGGAGTAGGTCTATAGATAGAGAAGGTTCTGAGGAAAAAGAAAAGAGTGACAGTATTGATTGCCGCACTGAGAGAAGAATCAGGAATAAGGTAAACATTTCTTTATTTGTATATTAGGTTTAATTATTTTCTTTAAAAAATAGTCAGTGAAAGAATTTCACATCTCCCTTTTATACTGCGGCTAAGCTGCATTATCTACATTCCAATGTTCTGTAAACTTATAAGCCAGTGTACTGTGTCGTGTTTCGTCTTAACGATAACGTTAGTTTTAAGGACAAATTCTTTAATTCATAAAAAGTTAACGTTTTGCAGGATCGCCCTAGCCTCGTAATTTACCAACCGGGCATGGGTAAGTTCAGTAAACAACGTTTGGCAAAAGATAAAGACCCTCCCACATCAAAAACGGTTAACGAAAGCGAAAAAAAGGATACTTGAGACATTTGTCGTGACTCCCTTATCTTGGACAACAATCAACGGAATTATCCTGATGATGGCATTCAGTAAGTTTCCATGAGACAAGACGGTGACTCTTAGAACTCGCCAACTGAGGGTACAATGTGCAAAGTTTTTATTCATTTACAGTATTCACGCAATATGAATGCCTTGGAAATTTCATTTTCATAACAAATCAATGTTACATTTGATGCTCCATATTAACTCGCGATTTTTAGTTCGACATGTTTTATTTCATTTCAATATAATTGTTTTAGTACAATGTTGTTTAAATATTCCCATCGTTATAAGCTAGTTAACTAAAATAATTAGAATGTTTAACTGTATTGACAAATTATATTTATTCTCATTAACACACCAACAATGGCTGAAATCTAAAGGCCGTCATAACTCAACATTTAAAATACAATTTTATTTCATCTATATTTTTGGCAAAATATTTGTTTATTATTTGATAGTCACAATTCTAACAGATGGCGCTGTGTTGAAAGTACCAACGTTTCACATAAGCTACAATTTAGTGGCATAATCACCAAAAAACCATGGTGGATTGGTGTTCTCCTGCCGTTTCTCTTGAATAGTTTAACTACTATGTAATATAATACAAATCTTAGCCAGAGCAACGTTTGGCCGAGTCTACTAGTATTATTATAATTCTCGTATCTATATCCCGATTCCTAGGATTATCTGATTTCTAAAGTTGTATTAATTTAATTAACATAAACATCAATAAGTATATTTTAAACATGTAAGATTGATAATGACAATTCAATAGATATTTGGAGCATAATACTTTTATATGTAAGAGGGATTATGTTGATTGTCAAATAAAGTAAAACGGCTTGGCTAAATAAAATATTTTTAATTTTTTATAATATTATGTTTATCACAGAAAGTTAGTTAAACATGTCACAAGTGAATATTAACCCTTAAACTTAATATTAAACTGTCCTTTATAAAAACATAACTTCTTTGGCATAAACAATCCAATTAATTAAACACTAAATTGATCCTTTAATAATTTAAATTCTTATTAATGTACATTTCCACGTCTCATTACTACATAGAAGTGGGAATGCGTTTAGACGTTTTTAAAAATAATAAATTAATGAAATCAATACGAAATTATGTTTTGTTTTATATTATATGATAATATTTATTAAACCATGAGGTGTTTCTGTAAACCCGGAGATTCTTTAACTTCATTTAAAACGCATTATTAACTTATATTAAAGTGGTGCTAATATTAATCTATAAGTTATGCAAACATGGCATCCTATACACCAATATTTGGTATGTTATTCTAGTCAGCCTTTTAAGCCTCGCGTGTTCTTAACGTACTCTTTAATTACACCTAAGGGTAAAATAATTTTTCATACACGGTCGCATGACTAAGATTGTAGCAGCAAATCTATATTACGCAATTGTAATAAAAAAAGTCTGGTAAATAACTTCATGCTTCTAAATAGTCATTTTATTTTAAAACTTTATCAACGAAATTTCAGATTCTCTCATGTGTTTCTTATGGGTTGGTTTTGCGAAACTCTTTGGGATAGGTCGGTCCATGCTCACCAGCAATATGTTTTTAAATAAATCAGTCATGTTGCATTTTTTTCACTAAAATACTCACTCATCAGTCTCTTCATCGCAGCGTGAATAAAATTGACAGAAAGAGACAAAAGAGTAATTCAGTTAAATAAGTGCAAATAGACTGATTTAGTTTTTATATACTTCAAAAAGTATGTTTGTAAACTATAACCATTTCGGCCGGCGCATTACATATTACTAATACGAAACTTATTAAAAAAGTATCCATTTAACTTATGCTACATCATTTAAAAGGACGGTAGATGCTTGTTTGTCGCCATCTGGAGGGATTTTCTTAGTCTCCTTATCGAGCTTTTTCGTTTGTGCCACGTTATGTCTGTGCATGACGTAAAGGAATAAGACGAATCCTACGAGGAATCCGGCCAAACCACCACCAATGGTGAGCCATGTACGACGTGAAGACTTTATTATCTGAGCCTGAAAATTAAAAACACAAAAAGTTCAATCGAGACTCTTAGTTCTAAATGTCCCGGTATAAGTGTGGGTCTAATTGTAACTAATTTTAAAGTGAGTAAAATTATATAAGTTCTAATACACAACGTGTGAATGGGCTATTTGACAATATTAAAAATAACATGTCATTGATTGAGAGAGTAATCTGTATAAAACAAAGCTTTAAAAAGCGTTATGGAGTATAACTAATCTAAATATTAATAGTTAAAAAAGTTGATTTTTATGTAATGGTCAGAGATTAGTAAAATCGGCGATCGTTAAGGCTGTTTTTCATCGAAATATAGTAAGTATAGGTATTTGTGTTATTTAAGAATGATAATTAACACTTAAAAACTTGATGTTTATTTACGTGTTTAATCCAGTCAAAATAGACAAAAATAAGTCATAACTTAGCCAAAATTCGCATAGAGCTGAAAATTGGCAGAGACGTTGAATACATCATTATAAATGAAATGTCAAAAATCCCCTTCGATCCTACTTCTGCAAAAAATTTTATTCAAGGTCAAAAGTATAAAATTAAGGTTTTTTTCCATTTTCTCGAAAACAGTTAGTATTATCGTGAAAATAGATCAGACAAAAGTTGTAGATCATACAATTCTTTACAAAAATGGTTCAGTCACTTTTTCTCTTACGACTCACCATTCATGAGATATCGCGGTTTTAATCATTAGAAAATTCATATTTTACATAATATGCACTAAAATGCAGTCTGTATACGTCACCGGACGTTCAATATAAATGAAAATAAGAAACTATTCGTTTGTGTTACTTACACAATAAAACTTGTATAAATTAAATGAGGATTTTAAAATATAAGACTACTCTTGCAAATACTCACAATAAGTCTCGCTTCATTTTAATGCTATGTGAAGAATTTACAGCTGCTGGTATTTCAATAAAACAAGCTGATAATGATGCTGATGTCCTTATAATTGAAACAGCAATAGAACAATGGAAAAGTTCAAATACAACTGTCGTTGTTGGGGAAGATGTTGATTTGTTGATATTACTGACTGCACGTACTTCAAATGATAAAATTATTTACTTTTTAAAACCTGGGAAAGCTCAAGTACAATCAACAATATATTCATCACAAAGTCCGACTGCATATCCGAAATGTCAAGCTCATATTTTATTTTTACATGCAATAACTGGTTGTGATACTACATCAGCAATTTTAAAAACGTAATGATTTAATTCATTGCGCAGAAGTATTCACAAAGATTGACTCTTCTCCACACGACATCGTTACAAATGGAATTCATTTTCTTCTTGCAATGTATGGTGCTCCAAAAAAAATTGATTCCATAGACATATATAGATATTTGAAGTTTGTAAAATCTGCATGGAACAATAAAACAGTACAGTTGTCTTGTCTGCCTCCAACATCTGCTTCTGCCTTTCAACACTTGTATCGTGTGTATTATCAAGTTCAAGTGTGGCTAGGCAATGAGCTGGACCCAGAAGAATGGGGTTGGAAATTAACAGATAATTATTTGGAGCCAATTCAAACTTTACTCCCGCCTGCTCCAGCAAAACTACTTAATACTATTTTTTGTAAATGCAAGACGGATTGTAGTAAGAATTGTGGCTGTCAAAAAGTAGGATTATTTTGTTCGCCAGTATGCATCAATTGTCAGGGTCAGACTTGCTCCAATATTGAAACAAATACAACAGATGAAGATATTTATGATATTAATGAAGAGACAATTGATGCATCCCTTTTCTTAGAACAGCAAACAGAAATTCTGCAAGAAGAAGAGAATGAAGACGAAGAAATAATTGTTGAAGTAGAATTAGACAATTATCTTATATAATGACATGTAGAAAAAAACAACCTATTCTACTTTAATCATTAGCAATATTACTATTCTTTCAATTAATAGGATACGATCTGATCAAACTTTCTTTATTACAATAGATCGTGGAGTATACCTACTGGGGAAACCACGTTAAAAAAAATGCGACAAGTACATTACCTCATAGGTGATGCGGAAATGTGTGCATATTATGTAGAATATGAATTTTCTAATGATTAAAACCGCGATATCTCATGAATGGTGAGTCGTAAGAGAAAAAGTGACTGAACCATTTTTGTAAAGAATTGTATGATCTACAACTTTTGTCTGATCAATTTTCACGATAATACTAACTGTTTTCGAGAAAAATGGAAAAAACCTTAATTTTATACTTTAGACCTTGAATAAAATTTTTTGCAGAAGTAGGATCGAAGGGGATTTTTGACATTTCATTTATAATGATGTATTTAACGTCTCTGCCAATTTTCAGCTCTATGCGAATTTTGCCTAAGTCAAATGCCTATTTTGACTGGACTAGTTTGCCACGCCATCTTGCGAGAGAAGCGTTTTGACGAGTTCTTGAAATTATGACTTTGAATTTTTTAAGCCAATTAAACTAAATATAACAATTTGTGTAAAGTGTCTATAATGAAATCTATTAACGAATAATTAATCTAATATGTGTATTGAAATCTTGTCAAATAGTCATATGAATATATTATTGTTTGCTATATCGTGTAGCCCAATAGATTGCCATGTCGCTGCTCAAATTAAAAAAAAAAAAGCTAGGAACAAACGCGTTGCTCGTTACAAGCGTAACTTTTAACTTAAAAAATATTTCGGTTCAGGTTGCCATAAAACCGTTCATATCTCTTTTGGTGTCAAATTTCCAAAAAATAATTATTTAGATATTTTCGCCATAAATTTTAAAACTCAGACATATTTTGTTTATATCACAGCATATTAACAAGGAAGTTGGCCTCACCTGTGTGTATTGATTTTGGCATTGATGATATGTTTTGTTGAGATTATCAGGCAGTTCTTCTTTTGTACAGTGCTCGAACTCTGAAAGAAAGAGAAGAACAAAATAATAGAAGATATAACTACGACAGTCTTTCTTAAAATTCTTACGACTTAACAATTGAACCTTATTATAGAATTATAGACCTTAGTGGAAAAGTATGTCTTATCCACACATATATATATAAAATTGTATATACGTGTGTGTTATAACTTTTTTAAATTCATATATAAAATCATGCGTACATACGTAGATTTATGAATTAGAAATACCTTTTCAAACAATAAATCAAATATTTATCAGCCTACTAAAGAGAAACTAAAGGAAATTGATACAATTTGAACTGGTCTATCTTATATATTACCTGGTCATACCAAATTGTAGCCCTCGAAAGCAGCAACAATAACTTAAAAACCATTAAGTGCAAATCCGCCTCAATTCGATTAAAATTCTCTTTGAAAAAAGCGTTTACATGCAAAACGGCTTAGATCCTAAATTAGTTAGAAGCAAATCCGCCTGAGTCTCAATCGACCAATCCGAAGCCACTATTTCAAATTTTCTATGATGGCGATTCTGTTACTTTTTCATAGTAAGGTGACTGTGGCTTGCGTCTTAATATTTTGTGTTTTCGCGATATATATTGTGTGTAATGGAAGAAAATATTCAACCTGCTCGTGCAGGACGAGCTAGTAAACGAGTGAGAAATGAAAATCAGTGGCGACGCGTACGAGATAAGGCAAAAAGGTAACTACCAATTCACTAGCATTTCGCCCGTTAGTAGGGTCTGCAGAAGCTTTCTCTAAGACATTTTTTTGCAATTATTTATTTGTTGTTGTCAATAACAAAATTCCTACGCTTTAGTTGCATGTGACTGTGTGTCCTTTTTAATCTTAGGTCCTAAGATTAAGATCAATCAATAAAGACACCTAAATGGCGCCTCAGATCTTTTAATCTAGAGACTGTTGGATGGAATATACATATTAAATTCAAACGCAACATATAAGATATTTATGTACTGCAAATGCTACAATTTTTATCAGGCGTATAATTTTTATATGAAAATTACCTCGAGAATTAAGCCTGGTGTAATCTGCTAATTGAAAGTAAATGTTCTTGAGCTGGAACCACGATATTGTAGATCTCATGTCACATAGCTGTAGACTGTCAATAGATTCTGTCAGATCCACTTTGGATAACTTGCACATAGAACTAAAGTGCTGGGCCTCAAGAGAAGTCAAAGGATTGTGTGAGATATTATAAAGAAGTAGTTGAGGCAAAATACCCCAGTCTGGTAGAGCTTTTAACTTACACTCTGATAAGTCCAAAAGTTCTAACGGGGCTTTTAGAGGCTTAGTCAATTGAAGGTTGCTTAAACGAATATGCAGCAGAGGGTTTCCGTGTAAATACAGATTACGCAAAGTTGGCAAGTGGAAAATTGACTCTGGCAGGGTCAGAATAACGTTCTTAGACAGATCTAGAGTTTGGAGATTAGTTAGGTAGTAGAATGCATTCTCGTCGATAGAGTATATTTGGTTTTCAGACAGATATAGGAATTTTATGCTGGTATACGAAGATAATGTGTCATCGTGTATTTCTTGTAGTTTGTTGTCACTGAAGTCAAGGATCTGAAATAAGAAATCAATTTGTAACGTCAAATTTTTTGAACCATCTACGAATCATTTATTAAATATACAAGTTTTGAACTTTCACTGAAACAGACACAACATTTGTTTCAAATTCCCGCTTATTCTGGCCGCGGGTCTTATTAAAAGACGCTAGATTTTACAAATTTAAAATTCATTTTTTAACATTTTCTAATTTACCAGTGACTAGGAATATACTTCAAGATAAGATGCGATGTCGAGATAAAATGCTTATCGTTGAACAACTTATCATGAAGATAATATTGTTCGTTCATTTTCCTAAATTGAAAAGAAAAATTAAAACTAAATTAAATTTTGTCGATAAGACAAGTGTCTTAGACTTGTCTTGTCTTTGTGATATTCTCTAGTGTTTTATAAATAGTAACCTTGATTTGTAAGCACGGTTGTAAAAAATGCAGCCCGGCTTTCTTGGCTATTCTTCTCAGATCTACGCGTTCTTGAACTTGCACGAACATCAGAAATCATATCACGTGATACATAATTAATCTTTATATTAAAAACCTACCTCTATTCCAGCTCTAAGACTTGGTATCTTATTTAGTCTGAGACCACCGCAGTGTGCCCCGTACATATCATACGCATATTCATAGGTACATCTAGTTGGCGTTGATGCAAGAGCTTCAATATCCGTCATCTGTTTAGCAGACACAGAACTGAATAACACCAGGATACATATTTGTAATCTGTAAAAAAATATTATTTATTGACTTGAGAAAGGGTTGCCGATGTTATCGGAATGCAGTCCGCGGGTCAGAAGTTCAAATAAACAAAGACGAGTTGTTGTATTTACTGCCTGAGATAAGATATGTACTAAGAAAACGTGTATAAAGAAATGGTACTAAGTAGTATTACTTATCAGTGTTAATTTGAATAAAAGGAACAATGGGGAAAATCTACTTAATCACAAGACAAAAATAGTCCGTTACCTACCTATATGTACGACACATTTCAATGCCATTGTAAAATAAAAACTAATTGAAATTGAATCTATTTTAACGCAAGTACGTATCTATGATAGCAATTGACGCTTGTCTTGATGTGCTTATCACTTGCACCATAATATAAACAGTATTAGGCAACTATTTGGACTACCAACGACCGCATTTCTATGACGGTACCTCAAACACCTTCGATAACAGTTTGAAACTTCATTTACTTAGTAGAATTTACCAGACATGAAGCTGGAAGATATTTGAACTGTTTCGTTTACTTTCTCAATATACACGGTAAGTAATTTAGACTAATCTAGACCATCGCCGTTGTGTAGGTATTTAGGTATTCCGAAAATTTATTACTATTACCAGTATTTCATATTCATGTTCTAAACATATCACTAATCACCAGTGAAATGTTTACGCTTCTATAAAACACGTACTTTCTGCATTATCTAAATAAGCAGAGCAAATTGTCGCTAAGTACCAGTAATTATGATCCCGTGTTTAAACACGATTCAAGTTTCTACGCCTTTGTTCTAGAAATTTAAGTCTTTTCATATAGGAGCTATATCTTAAGTGTATAATACTTGTTTAGCTCGTGAAAGAAAGAAACCTATTGTTGTCGGCCTAGTAATATTATAATGTAGATTCAAGAAGACGATTATCCATTTTTAAATGAAAATAACCGTATTTCCAGTGTGGCTACTGGTTATCAGACATGACCCGGAGATTCTGGGTTTGTTTCTGACGAAAAAGGTAATTAATTCAATCCATTTTAGGGTTACGGGATTGTAGCAGCAAAAGTTGTAGTAAATATTAAAATAAACAAAATTCTAAAGCAATAGATTTAACGCGATTTTTTAAATCCTCAATTAAAAAATTAAACAAAAGAATTCAGGAAGTCGGTTATTTAAATTACCTTAATATTGTGGATAACTTTTGATTTCATTATCAAGTAATTAATAGAATAGTTTGAAAACCTAATCAGATAAATCAAAGAAAATTAATCTATTGCTGAAAATAATAAGGCCAGGTAATCCAGCCATAAAATCACTCTTTAACAGTCATTTCGAGTATCTATTGTATTATGATATAAAGCAAGTACTTAGTGAATGACAAATCTCTATTCAAACATTTCCTGAAAAATACTGTGTTTACGTTTACATACACGTCGGCCCCTATAATTTTCCATCGTCACACGCTGACATTGTAGAATAACTTTATTCTTGGCGTCACGTTATATAATGAAAATAATGATAGCTAAATTAATATCAAATTAGCGGTCCTGAAGTAATGCAATAATAGTGCAGAGTATAATGGAACATCCTCTTGATATGACAGCGAGAACTATTGTATGAGATAACCATAAAAACCAACTGCACCAACAACCAACGATCATCAAACATTTATGGATTTTGTAGCTTTTCTATATTTTTTTGGAATCACGTTATTGCTATATGTTTTACTGATTTAGAATATTAACGAGTCGTGATTAGACGATAGTAGTTGCCTCACAGTATTTTGGCACTTGAAGATAAAAATATACAAGGCTAAGTACACTGACAGTACTATAAAACTGTATTTTATATTATCGCGGGTAATCTTCGTTAACTTTGTCATAAAACTGTTTGATTAATATCTAAATCTGCCTCCGTAGCCTTCAGTTGGTAACGCATTCAAGTTAGTTGAGATTGAGCTGGAACTATGACTCCTATTATGATCAAAAACGTATTGAAACCTTAACCCTTATTATTTTGGAACAACTGAGCAAATGTAATTAAACTTTATAAAACCTATGATTTCTATATATAACAAAAACATATAATAAGTACCTACGGGTTACTACCAGTTTTTTATTTATTTATTATGTACCTTTGCACCCTATATTGCCGATCTCAATATAAGACCCTTTATATTACTTTATATAACTATTATAGATTGAAAACTATAACAAATCTTGATAAATATCCTTAGATTGGTATTGCAAAATATATGGAATTGTGAATCATCTAAAACGTACCTACATCATCACTTGCGAACACTGGGGGTCTGAACTCCTTAATTGGTAAAGGTCAAATTAATTTCTTTAATTGTCTTCTTAAGCCCTGAAAATACCTACTCTGTTTCGAGGAAAAAACACAGCGCTACTCGCTGATAATCTTTATAATTAGGCCCGTTACTATTTTGTGCTCTCTGAATTGTTTAGTTCTATTAATACATTATGATGTACACTAATTCAAACTTGTGTTGGAGAATCCGCAAGCGTTCTCACAAGAGACGTGAGATGTGCAGACATCGTATTGAGACGTATTGAAACTAAAAGTAGGTATAGACAACGCTAATAAATTATTATAAAATCAATGTTTACTTTCAGTGGAAGTTCCCGAATGAAATATGTCCTTTAACGGAAGCTGTACCTACATTGTTAGGGACACTCCTGCGCATCATCCGTAACGGCCTCAATTGTCTGATTGATCTTTATGATGCGCCAACGCCCTAGCGACGTTAATCAAGAGAAAATTATTGACCGAGTCTGCGTTTAGCAATTGTTTTCACTGTTTACTTTACTTGTTGCCAAATTTTCTTAAAATATATGTAAAATATTAGTTAAGCACTAGGTGACAGTTGTACTTACACATAATATTTAATTTGGTGGATCTAAAAGTCATCTCATAAATCTTTAAATTTCTTTAAATCTCATTAAATTTATTTTATGATATATCTTCATACACATTAACTAAATACACAAACTATTACGATAAGAATTTAAAATATAATTCTATGAATTCAGGCGACACATTGTTTTACCATAAAATAGTGATTATTTACCGATTTTTTCGTTATCTTGATATATATGATTCATTTGTGCGACTTATATTGATAATTTCAATAGAGGTGTGCCTAAATTAATAAAATGTATTATATTCAGACTAAAGAAAATTACTAATACATATTGATTTATAATATAATGATAAATATAGATTTCAAAAAAGGAAGATAATATAATTTGATCAGGCGTCATTAAACTGCTTTTTATCTCAGAATTATTTTCTTAAAGTTTTCAACAAATCTTCACGTCTATTTTATATTTTCTATTCAAGGAATATACAACAAAATATTCATACAAGTACCTAAGTATTACAGCGCTTATTAAAAAACCAAAGAAATGTTTTATTATCATATAGGTATAATGTTTAAATATGTATTATGATTATTTTATATTTTATAGTGATTACGGTACCGAGATATATTTCATAGTTATTATTAACAATTACTTGTGTGTATATTAAGGTCGTGCTTTTCGGGGTAGGTAAAATAAAATCTTAGCATTGTTTCTAACTGCAGTACGATAATGGCAATTATTATCATCAAGAAATCGATCAGATAAGCTAATTAAAATACCTGTTCATTTTAAAGTCAGCGTAAACGATCATCGAATATCGGACTCCGGTATCCACATCACCAGCATCACACAAACTTTAGCAGACACACGCACTTTGCAGACCCGCAAATTAACGGAAGACGCTTGTTCAATTGATTCAATTAGGTCGTTCCCGACCGACGACCACTACAGAGATGTTTTCCATACAGAGGATCAAATGCTACTGTCGCGGTTATCTTTTATCAGCTCTTGTCCATCAACGAAATCGTTCTATTCTACTTTGAGACAAAGGCTATATGAACCAACATCGTCACAGTCAAATATCTAGTGTAATTGACGTCCTATCTATATGTTCTGATTGGTTGTGCGATTATTTGTCCAAGTCGTGTATTAGAGTACTTTGATAAGTCTCTTTGTTTTTGAGGGACCTATAAGTATACACTTTAGGTAAATAGATACTTAATTGACAATTTTATTATGATCTCTCTAACGACTCTATTAGTTAATTGTGTCAAATATCGTATGAAATTATTTCATCATAATAATTTCGCAATATGTTACCTAAATGTGTTAATAAAAAATAGAGAATAATATGATAGATTAATTAAGTAAAGTTTTTATACAATAAAGATGCAAATCTATTACATTATTTACATAGATCTGCGTTGCTTTACCGTAACACGGGCAGCGGGAAACAAGCTTAGAGTAAAATTCAGAAACGAGAATTAGTGACTATGACTAGTGAATCTATGTCAAAATCTAATGATAACCAATATATACTTTTTAATTAGTAATGACTATAATTACTAAGAAAAAAGGTACTTTATAGGTTTCTCACTCTCTAACTCGATCATCTATCTCAATAATCTATCTATCACATTAATTTTTTGGAAGGCTTTCTGACATCCCAAGGAATATGCATAGTTACCAAAGTCAGGAGGACCACGGTTGTGCCTCCAAAAAAAAATCAGCCTCAAAATCACTGGTGCCGCGATACGGAATATTTACCGTATTTTTTTATAATATTTTATTTTATAGACAATTTAATATGTTTATGGCACAACCGTGGTCCTCCTGACTTTAGTAACTATGCATAATGTGATAGATAGATTATTGAGATAGAGAGTGAGAAACCTATAAAGTACTTACCTTTATTCTTAGTAATTAGGTATAGTCATTACTAATTAAAAATAAACAGTATATATTTGTTATAGCATCCCGTCCCCCGGCTATAGTACCCATGACCCAGTGCAGCACGCGAGTTGCTGTGTACAGTAGGTATACCACTATTTCCTCGCAGCAGAGCATCTACTGCGTTGCTACAAGGATATACTGAGCAGTGTGACGCTAGCTTTGATTTTTGGTTTTTAATCTCAATCCAGTTTTTCTACAAGGAAATACCGGCTCTGACTCTTCCGTTAATTTTAATCCCTATATTCTTCCTGCGGTTGTATCAGAGCCTTCCAAAATGTGAATTCCGCAAAGAGTTAGGTCTTTTTAAAACTTATATAGCCGAATTTAAAATTATTTAAAGAACATTGATTGTTATTTGAATAATTAGCCTTATACTACTCGATCAACAAGCGTCTTTCAAATTCGTTGTCTATTAACCTACCTCTGTAATAAAAATATAATTAATTTTATATACTACCTGCATAAAATGTAGGTAACTGAAGTTAACGTATTGAATGGTGTGATAAAATATGCCTACAATTATTTTCATGCCGATTTCATCGAACATTTCGTTCGGGCTAAAGAAAAAAAATAATCTTGAAAATAAATATTTTTTCACATTTTTACCTAAAAGGTTTAATTATATTTAACACAAATCAAAAATTCACAAGAACTGTGTTTTAGCCGCATTGCTGTTTTTTCTGTTTATTATCTGTGTCTATTTGGGCTTTGACTACTCACTACTATCAGATGTCATTACTGACATTTAATGATATTGTAAATTGTAATGTAAACTAGTCAAAACTTCAAAGCGGCTTTTTGGGTGTTATTTTGTGTTTTGGTGTATATTAAATGGACTACAACAGTTTCTCATGTGAAATTCTCTCTATAGTTAAATGAAGATGAATGCTACAAGTTTATACACATCAACTTCAAGATTAATACTGTTAGCTGACCCAGCGGATAAAAGTTCTTGGTCCGATTTATATCGTCTTGTTCCTTATTTAAGACAATCATTATCATGTACTGTTTGCGGAAATTTACTAAAAGAGCCTTTTACTCCTGAGAGTTCCAATTGCCAGCATCATGTGTGTAAAAATTGCATAGGTGGAAGAAAAAAATTAAAGCCCTCTTGTAGTGAGTGTAAGGATTATGAGGATTATACTGATAACAGTCTGTTAAGGACTCTTCTTCAATGTTACAAAAAACTTTGTGAGTATTTTATGGATACAGAAACATACAGAGTTTTAGTAGAAGAAGATGCTTCAGTAGTTGGGCAAAATGGTGGTGTTGTTGCTAGTTCGGGTTTGATAGATTTGATAAGAGAGGGGGCCCGTTTTGATGATGATTATAAGTGTAATGCTGGCCTATCAAAATCAGCATATAGTATTTTGCCATGTGTCTATAACTCTTCGTCAACTCAAACCCAGGCTGCTTCATCATCAACTAGTATAGAAACAAGGTCTTCTAATAAATACACCACCAATAACAGAGATATATCCAATGGATCTCCTTTATATTCAGTTATGTATGCAGGATCTGGCAACAAAATAACAATTAAAAGAAAAAATGCTGATGACACAGAAGTAACACAAAGTGAGAATAGCTTACTAGATGGCAAAGTAAGAAAAAATACACTTACAAACATTATATATGTACCTTTCATATTTTAATTTTTAACAGAATGAAAATGAATAATTTACTCTAATTTTTATTTTATTAGACGAGTCAACTTCCCTTTAAGAAGCCTTCAAACCGATCACGCAACCCTGGCAGTAAAAGAAAAGGTTGCCGTTGTGGTAATGCTACAGCAACTCCTGGAAAACTTACTTGCTGTGGTCAGCGTTGCCCCTGTTATGTTGAGAGTAAGCCTTGTACTGAATGTAAATGTAAAGGTTGCAGAAATCCACATAGGGCAGATGGTTTAAAGGTAAAAATATATATTGAAAAGACATCTTTGACTCAATTCTAATTTAAAGTTGCTGTGCTTTTATCTATCAATATGTTTAAAATTTCAGGTTCGTCCACACTTACCACATATAGATACCCTACAATTAACACTTAATATGAATCCCAGCAGTTCACCGTCATGTTCAGGATCTATGGACAGTCTCGATACTGATTCACTAACAATGGAGGCCATGGAGGAATCTCTTGGGTTCAGTGCAGATTATAAGTCACCGAATCTCAAAGGTAATGTTTATACAACGTTTTAATTAAAATGTTTTTATCTTTAAGACTATTATGTTTACTTCACTTTTATATTTTTATGCCTTTCTCTGTGTTACCCTTAGCTCTCTTTTAGCATGGGTTGCCTGTAAAAGATAAGTAAGCGGGATAAGAAAGTGATAAGGCCACCACACCACAAGATATTGTCGGCAACTCAGACTTTATCAAAGTGTTTTTTGCTTATTATTTTCTTGTGTGCAGAAAAGTGTACATAAACATCTTGCTGTAATAATATTGCTACTGCATATATCTTTCTCATATTTTGCAAGTATTGTATGGATACTTTAACCCCTGACTACATAAAGTGTATGTTATACTGATTATTTACATCCTACAGTTGGATCTTTTATCTTAAAATGCTTTTAAAGTCAGTTTTATATATAAGATTTGTTGTTTACAGTATACACAAGCCAGATACAAGAAGTGTCGGCATCCTTACCAGCTACAATATTAATGGATGAAGAGCTCCCAGCCTCTCCTGACAATTTAAGCTCTCCATGTGAATATGCTCAGTATTCTCCTAGAGGAACAAATGATACTGAGCTATCACCACAATCCACAGGCACACAGGATATAATGAGTGACCCAGAATTAGATGCGTGACAGTCAATTTCTGTTACAAATGACTAGAAAACCATTTTTAGTGAGGATATACATAATATTTCTCTCAGCGACAAATGGTACAGATTTGTATGAGTGACAAATACTTTATGTGAGTGCCACCTCTAATCGAACTATCAAACTTCCAGACTTTTATTTTTAACTTACAGAATAAACTTTAATGACAAAACATAATAACACACAACATTGTGTTCATTTTATGTATGCATTACTCAAATTAAAATGTCTATCAATATGGTCTAAACAGTAAAGGCCTCTTCTTGAACACAACATAATTAAATACAAATATTGTAACTCTAAATTCTACATTATATCAATGTAATCATGTATTGTATATAAAAGTAAAGATAGGAAAGTGTTCTAAATACAAACTGAATGTTCTCATTATATGTTTAATGATTTTACCTATAATGGAGGTATTGTAAATTCAATATTTTTATATGCACATATAATTATAAAAAAGTGAATGTATGACTTTTGTATATTTTAGTATAATAATTAATTTATCACTAGCTCTTTAACTGTGTCTTATACTTTTAAATACTATAATGGTACCAGCAATTTTATGGACAAAACAAAGATGAAAATATAGACTTTTTAAAATAAATCTCAGTCATCTTGCCCTTAAAATTCCTAAATAAAATAGTGAATTTATAATTTTGACATAATTCTGGTACACTTTATTTACCACCACATTGTGATAAGATAGTAAAATTAGCTACTAATAGTATTTATATTTTTAATTATCTAAATAATGAAATTAAACCTTGTACAGTCCATTTCAGCGATTATGTTGTAAGTAATGAGTATTTTATTTCTTGTAAGTAAATGTTTTATAAATAGGATTTATTATTTTAAAGTTGGCATAGAAAACAATTCTCATGACAAAAGCTTGAGTACAAATAATGAGGGAATTGCCTTAAAATTATAGGTTTTTGAATGATGAAAACAAAATTTGTTTTTAAAGCAAGATTAAAAACAGTATTTTTCTGAAATTGACTTTTATTATTATATGATTAAAATAACAATTAAGTATGCATTCAAATTGATCAATGAATATTAAGAAATAGTTTCAAGAATAATATTATATGTTTATTCGTCGATATCGTCAAATTTATTTATTTGAGTGTCGTCCACCGAACACCACACTCTATTAAATTCGCGCTGTAAACTTGAAATAAGAGCAAAATCTGAGGATAGAATAGTTATGTCTCTGGAGCAGTTAACGCGATTCACTTCAAAATCTAATGAACCCAAAATAGCAACAGAATCACTACAATCTCCATCAATTATTATGAATTCATGCTCAAGTTTCACTGTAGAATTTATAACTTTGACGCGAATGCCGTTTTCTGCTAAACTCTGTAAGTTACAATATTCAGCATATCTGTGCACAATTAGCCTTATTTCCACATTATTTTTTATTTTCACTTGTATTAGAGATTTCGTTATGGAATCACTTTCCAGACTTGGAATGGATATATTAATTGTTCTTGCAGCATGAACTATCATGTACAAAATGCAGAAAAGGTTGTTGAGACCCACTTGCTTTTTCCACTCCTCGGTATCATTACTTCCGTAGATAAGGACATCATTAATCACGTCACATTTTTTCTCCACAGTAAATTTCTTTCGTAGGTCGATCAGTTTTTTTAATAAGGTAAGAGCTAATGTTTTCCACAAAAAAAAATCCATAATGGCATATAAATCTATTTTCAACGTGTTAATGAACGATATGTCTTGGTTCCAAAATAAAACTATTACTTTTTGGCGAAGATCGAGTATTTAAAAGTTTTTTGTATCTACCCTCTAATTCAAAATCTATAAATCGGATTGAATAGTATTGTTTAAAAAAAAAGCGCAATAAAAATTCTTTTCGGTTGCTTATGGAATTTTATTGGAGGTGCCAAAAATATTTCCATGTTATCTATGGTAAAAGTCATTCAATACAGCCGTGTCAAAACTTATTTTTGTTTAAAATATTGTGAGAAATATCCATGCCTTACAAATTACTAAAGCTTTTATTTTGATTTCATATGAGAAAACAATGCAACAATAATGGCTCAAGTTGTAGGGAAAAAGTTAGTAGTGGGTAAAGACAACGTTACCCGAACTACCAAAATCTTAGATGTGACAGATAAAAATTCAAAAGCAAGAAGTAAAAGTAAAATTCCCAAAACTGTGCGATATGAACTGGAAAATGCATTAGTCAATGTAGGTTTATGTCCTTATTATTTTACTATTATATTTCTTTGATTTACTAGACCATATAAGTATTATTTAAGATCAATTTAGTGTTTTATTTGTTTTTGTTAATTTAAGCTACGTAGGCTACATGCCTAAAGCGACCTAAAAACTTAAACATATAGTTTCCTTATATTACTCCTAATATGACCTTAACATATTACATTAAAATATAAAGGAAGCTAATTAATACCGTTAGTTACCTACAGCAGTTAAAAGCGCTATGTCGTGCTCATGGAAATTTACGAAAAAAAATATAAATATGTTTCTCACTCAGTTGTGCGATGTGTGGTTTGATGAAATAAAGCCGCATTTAGTGCGCAATAAGATAAAGCTACATATTCATCAAGATGCTGCAGGTGATGACGAACCCAAGCAATTACCTCGAGGAGCTCCGGGAAGCTCACACCTCGATCCAGGTGAATCCCATGTAAGAGCCTGTCTCTTACATCTTTATATTTTATTAATGGATATTTTAGTAGATGCTTGAGGTGGTGAAGTATTTTTAAGTAGACAACTCCGCCCTCCATATTACTGCAAACAGCTTTTCAAAATACTCCCTGTGCTAAGTTAGACCAATAGAGATAGACATCGTATAAAAGAAACTTGATCAAACCTATACGTATTGAAATCAAAAAATGGAGGAAACTATAAGTATGGCCTGTTATATTAGCTACGTCAGCGGAAAAGTGCGAGCTCAGCCGTTTGTTATCCAACGCAGCAAGCAGCATCGAAAGTGCATTGTCGCAAGCCGCCGCAGGATCCTTTACTGACTCCCCGCCACAGGCTATTAGCGTTGCCGCCCATACAGGTATTTAACATGTTGATAAGAATTGCCCTTCTGCGCCTTAGTATTTATTACGGCAATTTCTTGGTTATGCTTAACTTGTATTCGCTCTAAAATGTGTAACTTATGTCATATATACTGTCATGTGTGATCATATAATCAATATAAGCAGAGGATTTTCACATGGGCACCCGTACCATCAGCGACTTTAGCCGGTGTTACCTTCTTGCATAAATTGCTCATATACTGAGAGCAGTGACCTCTTACAGGATATTAAAATTGTCGTCCCTTACTCATTCCCTAGGTTTAAAATCAACGATATTTTCCAAATTCCTTCTTCTAAGACCAACCTAGGAGTTCAGGCACCTCTCGTTCGTATTCTTCGCGATATTAACGGAGAATACAGCTTATCCGGAGCTGGATATATTCGGTAGTGGGCTGATCGGTTTTAGAGAAAGCATTGTGAGGGACCCCACGAACCTAATTCGCTGTTTTGCTGATGATTTTTCTTTTTTTTTCTGATTTAAGTGCCAACAAATTTCTATAATTTTATTCAATTTTATTGTGTGGTTGTATTATCTTGTATATGTTTTAATTGTATTTTTTAATTTTTAATTTCTATTTTTTTTGTGAAACTTATGTTTACTGAAATTGTCACACATTTTAGATGTAATATTTTGTAAAATAATTAGTAGATTTAGTACTGTTTGTGATGTTAACTTAATAACTAAATAAATAAATAAATTCACGCAGCGCTCTCAGAGATTTTTTTACAATGCCATAAAATAAACGTTATAGTTCTTTTCTTAATACCGATAGGTATCTATGATTTTGAATTGAACCTATTAATGATCAGGATTTTGAGTTTGAGTTTTCAATACTCTTAAAAATATAATTCTTTAGCAACCAAAACATAGCGAAGGCAACTCAAAACGAAGAACTCGAAGGCGAAGAAAAGTACGCAAACATACACAATCTGAGACAAGGTTAAGAATTCCTCGTCTTTGTAACAATTTTGGTTTAGAATCAAAATCCAATCAAGTTTATCAGGAGCCAACGCGCTATCAAAAGAATATCGTACGTATGATTTCATATTAACTTTTTCAACAACAGAAATTTATACAACACGACTTCATAAATGTGTAAGGTGTTTTAAGCCTCTATTTTATGTATTGTAGTTGGTGTGGTCGCAACTTCGGCAGCCTTTAAAACACGTTACCCATTGAATTAAGAAACCATAGAGTTGGGTACAACTATTTTCTATAATTCTCCTGACACTTATCATTCCTACCTATTTTATACTTAATACAGATTCTTAAATGTTTTAGACCAATGTACAAACTAATAAAACTAAAATGAAGACCAAATACACACAAACAGAGTGTAGAGGGAGTCTTGATGCTGCTACCATGCCCAAGTCACCAAAACCACTACAGAGGCCACGAGCTCAGAAATTGCAGCCGAATAAAAATAAATCTCGGACAATGGAATCTCCATTTTTCAAAACGGTAATACATAGATATATTTTTAGCAGTAACCATCAATATGACTTTAAAAGGTTTTAATTGGTTTTATTATTTTTGTTGTAATAAATGAAATTTCCTGCCCCAACAACTTTCAGTTTAAGAGAAGAAATAAGTTTTTGTCCATTTCCTGTAACAAGTTTTAGTTTTTTGTTCGTGGATTTCGTTATAGACTAAGGCGCTCTCTTATCTAACTAAACCAATTTTGACTAAAAACTATATTCTGTAAGTAGATGTACACATACTTAGAAACGATTTCATAACAATGTTATTGTTATTAGCTATTCTAATTTTCTTGAGACAAATTTTATTTATTCTGACATTTTTACAAAAACAGTATTTGTGCAGGATCTCGTTGATATCATTTGCTCGAAACATGAAGATAATTTAGAAGTATTATTTAAAAGTCCAAATAAATCTGAGGTGTCATCAGTACTGAATTTAGTTCCAAACTCCAGTAAAAAATGTGCAAAAAAGAAAATGATTAAACCATGGAAATAAGGTTTTGTTGTATTCTCACTATATTTAATTTTATGTAATCTATCTCGAAATACTACACATACCGTACAAAAGATACGTGAATTAATTATACATTTATGAAAATTATTACTTGCCTACTTTACTAATGTTTAGTAGAAATTTATTTTTATATAAGATTTAGTTTATTTTGGTCATATGAATAAATATATTTAGTTTTCATAATGTCTTTTCTTTCTAGAATATCATAATATGAGTGGGGTAGTGTAAATATATTTTCTTAAAATATTGTTTGATAATAATTAAACAAGCGTGTTTTTAAGGCATAATTGAGAGTTCTGTTTCAGTTTTCAGAAATAATTATTGTTTCCCAGGAATCGAACCGGGACCGAAGCTAGAAAATACTTAAATAATGCCATATTGTATCATACCATTTTGTATTCTTATTATGTATGTAATTTCTGGGTTGTTATCAAAATCGTGATATTATATGTCGAGCCATGATGCTACATCTAAATATACACTAAGCACGATTCCCTCAAGTATATATTGAGTGAAAGAGAGTTATTTAAAGAAAAAAATAATTACAACAATCTCACACGACACTTTAATTGGTATATAACTTATATCTATAATCTTATTTACGACTCTTTACAAAATTACAACAGACATAGAACGACTAAAAATACAGTACAGGGAACGTTTCATACACGAATAAAATAATTTACAAAATGCAGTCGAACAATACATCACACACATTAAATACTCTAAATAAATAAGTCACAAGTCACCGAACGTCTTCCGCGACTGACCAGCGTTCACGTCATTGACAACTTAATCGTGAGTGACGCCGCCCAGCCGTGGCTGATGCTCGCTCGCTCTTTGGATCTGAGAAGAGTTCTTTGAACGTCCACGCGTCACATTCGCACCCTACACATTCGCATCTAGTTCGTATGCTTCACATAGTCCGTCTCATAGTAAGCGGTGGCGCCGTGTGTTCCTTTTCTATCCAGCGCCCGCACCCGCACAAAGAGAAAAGCAGCTACCAGTGACGCTACTACCAGTACTAATAATAACATGACCAAACCTGCCACGAATGATGGCACTGACATGCATATCGTTTCTGGATCAGTTGCTGGAGATTGAATCACAACTGTTTCGTTGGTAGCAGCATTATTTAAAGCAAAGTTAACATCACCTGGCGCCACCACTTGTATCGTTCTGCTTGTATTTACGTCGGTCATTTCTTGAGCATCTCGTTTATAGATACGTGACGGTGTCGATGTTTCACGTTTTCTTCTTACTCCTACTAATGTTTCGGGTAAATCTTCAACAGATCGCGGTCGGCCACCCAACGTTGCCAGATTACCGTGTCCTTCATCTTTCCTCTTGACTGTGTTGTATACGCCACGTCGTCCCGGGGGTGGTGGTGGAGGAAGGTTGACGTCGTCTTCATCATTTCTATTTGGTGATGGTGAGGAAGGACTTGGAGCATTAGGTGTAGATGAAGCCTGTGCTTGTGGTGGAGGAACAGTGTCGTCTCGTTTTTCAGAGTAAGCACCTGATGAGTCTGCGGGATGCCTAGGGTCTGGATACGCGGGTGGAACACCATATTCAGCGTGTGGGGATGGAGGAAGTCCGTATTCACCGTTAGGGAGGCCATATTCACCTGCTCCCAATGTGTTACCTCCCAATAATGGCACTCCATAATCGGCACCGAGCCCAGCGCATTTAGGCTCGGGACAATTATATCTACATACTTGGATAACACATTGAAAGTGGACATTCATAGAATCTGGGAATTTAAAAGCTTGGAAGTATGCAAACGATACGACAGAAGCGGAAGGCCCAAAGTTCTTAATCTTCTGGAATTTGCTCATAATTTTGGGTCTAACTACGCATCCATATTGATCTACTAATTGGATTGGCGCTCTTTTACCATCGTGTGCAACACAGTTTCTTACTAACATGTCAAATTTGTTCTCGTCATCTTTAATTGCAAGTACCATAGTCATTGTCTGACCAATTTTTACTATACCAGACACCTCTGAAGCCCAGGGTCCTTTTCCCACTTGAATTTGCATCCAGCATTGCAAGTTGTCTCCGAGAAAGTTTGCCGTAACCGCATGTAGCATGTCGACTTGGAACGGTCTGAAAGTGACAGCCTTTTCATAAAAGTCGTACCATGTGCATCTTAATTTCCTCGCTTGATCCCATACTTCCTGAACGTAAGGATCGTACTGCACAATAATTGTGTTTTCTACGTACGATCCGCTAGGGGTAGGGCTTCCATATGCTGCTACATTGTGGTTAGCGGAGCTGCTCATACCACAACTGTTAAGGAAGATCTCGAAAGTAGCGCTGAGATGCCCGGTTCCCGGTTTTAAGTGCATACAATGTGAATCGCTGTAGAATCCTTTCGAGAATATCATACCATAAAACGGTCTATCGAACTCAATATTGACACGCATATGAGTTTTTTCACATTGGACTTGTAGATGTTTGATTTTGGGACTGTCAGGTGAGGTCAATGGCCAGGGGTCATCTGTCTGTGGCGGGAGTGGAGGGCCGTACGCGCCACCACGGTGCTCCAGTGGTAGTGATGCTGAGTCTACTGGCGGTTCGCATCTTGCATCCTAGAAGGAAAATTAATTGCATTATTTCTAATTTAATAAATCTATCCTAATAATATTTTATACAGAAGTACATACTAGTTATCTATGAAGTATTTCATAATTAAATTTGTTTTGTTGATTGATGCATTTATTAAATATCCACATATGAACCGGCCGTTTATGTGTAAATGTTACTTCAACCCCATACCCTACTATTTAAGACAATTAAGTAAATGCATCGTTGGCCAAGTGCACATTCCGATGTGCGGGTACGTCGCACTCTACTTCCCCACGCAACGCGCCGCGGCCGTCCTGCGCTTGCGTCGATCTTTCCGACTTTCTACACTGATGGATGCCGCGAGAAAATTATAATATTAATCAACCTAGTAAAATACTTTCACGGTCTTAACGACTGTCTTGCATAAGATTTGAATTGTTATTAATTTAACATAATTTGTATTCAATTGCTTTGGGGTTATTTAAATTATTTTAGCTACTTAACTGGTTTAACAATTAAGATTTCTTTTTAGGCGTTATAGTGTGGCAGATATTAGATCAGGTTCGAGTAATTGTTCTTGAATATTCAATAAGCCAGCAATTTTATATAATAATATTATCATTTTACAATAGCTAGTAGCTACTTAACAACAGGCAACGACAAAGACAAATTAAATAACAAGGTAGACGGTATTTTAAACTTAATTTAATATATACTAACAAGGTAATATAGGTTTGCACTTGCTTCTAATCGATCGCATTTTCTAAACCAGTTAGAAATTACCTACTGCTCGAGTTTGTAAATAGCAAAAGGAAATGCACTGGCCCTTACAGGTTTCTTAGGAAAATTCTCGTTATACATCCTAATGTACCTATGCTTTCAGCTTACGTAAAACATAACTGATAATAATTAAAATAATATTTTTAACGTAGTTTTATTTATAGTAGCTGAGAGTATCGAAAACGTGTAACTACATTGCATCCTTAATTAAAATCAAAATAGAGACTGAAATGTGTAATAGACATTTACGATATTAGCTCTTACAACTTTTTTACTAAAACATGAGGCACTATCGTCTATAAGCAGCAGTTGGTAAGCGAGTATAAGATAACCACATCCGCTTCCTGTTTAAGCCTTTCCCTTTTGTCAAAATATTAGGGGCTTCTGTTACCTGTGACCTAATTTATTTTTTAAGGCAGCTAATGTTTTGTATGTGACGATTTATACCCATAAACACGATTTATACCCATAAACACGATTTATACCCATACCCATAAACACATTATACTGTATGTTGAGTGTGTTTCTTTGCATGATTTCTAAGTATAAAATCAGAGACCACCTAATAAAGGAGAGTGAATGAAAGTCAAATAGCTCAAATTCAAAGTAAGCGAAAAATTAAAACCAGCAGTATTCTACACATTGAATAATGAACTGTTATTTATTTTTATAAAGTGTTTTAAAATTTAGATATAAAGTAAAAGCATTAGTTTGCATGCTTCAGACTTAGACAATAAGATTCAGCCGCCAAAAATTTGTATAAAAAACAGGCCCGATTAAATTCCTATTGTATTCAATTACGTTATGTCACAATAGTACCAACATTAACTATTATTCATATTATCTAACCATAATATACAATAAGAAGCACGACAGAAAATGAAATCGTTTGCACGATTTTGTTACCGATTATATCATCGATTAAGCTCGAATTTTATCCGCAGTGAAAGTGCTTTTTGGTAGACATGTCATGCTGATCGTATATATTATGAGAAATCGAAATAAACACCGTATCGATTGCATTTAATTTTACGTAACTGACCTTGATTTTTGGAAAATGTTTTCACTTTTTGTTATCCATTTTATTAAAAATTAATTAGTCTGTATTATGTTTATCGCACGAAAAATATTGCATCCAGAAGAGTTCTATCAATAATTCAGATTTTTATAGAATTAAATATAATCATTTGATTGATCCAAGATATTGTAAAATTTATATCGTATCTCTTAAAATAACAAGCAATTTATTTATGTATTTGTGACTTTCTCGTAAATAAAAGAGAACACTAAATAGCTTTTAATATTTATATCAACATAAACCAGTGAAAATCAAGTGCTTTTTCCTACTGAATTGCAACGCTTAAATAGATGTCTTGAATGTATTACTATAACTAAATTTATTGTAAATCGTGCGCTTAAAAGCAATCGGTGAAATCGTTACAAAAACTATATTGATGTCATCATTACTTCTTTAATATACATACTTTTATCATATCATTATAGGTACTTTTTGTTGCATAGTATAATGTTGCATTTTAAAAAAAATGGATTTACTATGTACCTACCTATATATATTTCAAAATATATATATTAGAGTATATACCTAATATACTTGAGCTAATATTGTAAATATGAAAGTGATATCTAAGTTGCATTGTTTGCCAAAGTGAAAAAATAAACATGCAGTCAATTGGATGCTGTTAAATAAAATAATTAAAATCAGTGAAATAATACAATCAAATTATCAGCGCCTCGAATAGTAAAGAAACTATTTTTTTGCTTAATTTTGTCGGTTTAAAGTCCAAATAAAGCGAAGTAAAGTAGTCTATGGACGAACGGAATACTGTATGTAGACAGCCGCCCGCCCATGTGTGGAAGTGTGCGGTGCACACAGGCGCTGATACAATAAGCCCGCCACCGAAATTATTTATACTACACTACAATATTCTTACGTACGTTTGAAGTTTCATTTTACGCTTTAGGTTTTAGTTTACATTAATTACTCAGAGCTTAGGAATCAAAAAAAGCCTGACATTTTTTGAGTGTGTTTGTATGATTTCAATAATATGCCGACATACTTGATAAAATCCAAAATGAACTATTTTTTATACTCGGTAACCAAATTCAACATTTTATTTTAAATTTATGTCGAATTAATAAATATTTTTCAATAATACTGGATTGTACTACTGACGTTTCACAGAAGAGCAAATTAGTATGATAATAAGATTTGTCAACTTTAACATTAAACTAAAATTAAGAATAAGAGAGCATTTCTACTTTCCAATTTATAATAGCACTTTCTGCTCAATGTAGATACAACTGGCCTGGAGTAACGTCATTTATAATAGAAAACTAAACGAAATTAATTTGGACATAAAGAACTTAAGGGGCAAGGCTATGATAATGGCTCAAATATGGCGGTAAGAATATTGGGGATGTACGAGTAAATCTCCGCACTTTTTATGTCGTGGCCAGCCATAGTTTAAATTTAATAATAAATACGCTGCAATCTATACACGACTGCGTTTTTTAATATTGTGCAAGAACTATATAAATATTTTTCGTCCTCTACTAAAAGATGATTTATTACAAAGATATTCATAAATCTGACCTTAAAACGGTTAGATAAAAATAACATCATAAATAAACTATGTAACAATTTAATTCAGTTTTATTTTTCACGGCAATTGGCCAGGGACGTTTTACCTATTTAAGTGGATTAAACTAAAGAAAAATTTTCTTTCAGTCAAAATTAAAAATACATTGAAACTTGAAGATTCTTAAAAATAGCCGAAATATAGAAGGAGTTCCTCAAAGGCCCGCAACACACCCGCTAAAAATGTCTATGAATTCAATGACTGCATTTTCCGTCCCTAAGGCTGTTTGACCCCTATAGAAAAGGAGGGCTTCATGGTTTCGCACACAGGCGCTGCCGGGGTGGGGCCTGTATGTAGAGTACAGTTGTGGTGAAATCTAGTAATTGATGAAAAACGCTATGACGCTGCACATACAGCGATCGCCTTAATACCTCATTGCTTAACGAACGGTTAGCTTACTGTATCTACGATAAATAGTTCGATACTAACATAACTCTTTTACCTTTATGTATTAAATTTAAATTATCAATCTATTTCATCTAAATTAGCAATTCTGTTAACCAAAGAGACTGTAGTGAAGAGTATTTGCTAATTTCTTTAGCTTTACTGGTATGTGTAAACCTATTTGTATATATCTTTTCTATTTAATCTCGTGTAATTTTACTAGATTCTAAGCATGTCTATATTCATACTTTAAAACAATTACGGCGGCCTGTTGTCTTTTTTTTCAATGTTTTCTAGATAATTCCCCGAATACGTTGTCACGGAGGTAATAACTTACGTAAACTGTATTGGTAACCCGTATGATTAAACACTATTTACCTATTTCTTTTAACACTGTTGTCTACCACAAAATATGTAATCATCAAAATCTTGTTTGTTATTAATATTTTTTAGCGATAAGGCCGCCCGTTGCATCCCTTATAATTTTTATGTATTGTGTTTTTCGTGTTTCTTTTATTTTTATTGCAACGAAGTGTAAAGAAATAAATAAATAACGATACATGTCGTCTATAATTTATGTTATAAACTCACCTGATAAAGGAGCGTCGCGAGTAGAAACAGCAGCCTGGTCTTCATAATCACAGTCCGGTCAGTCAGCGGCCTGCAACCAACAAGACACATGAGTGGATTCAATTCGCGCTTGCGGTACACATGAGCGCTATAGGCGCGGGCGCACGGACGCTGCGGGTGTTCGCATCACGGCGAACAGCGAACACTGCCACTTGTGAGCTTCGCCCCGTTCCCCACCACTCCCCCCTCTACTGACCCACTGACCGAATGCAGCGGTCTACCGGAACTGCACCAGATGCATCTTTCTCCGATACGCTCCTGATGCGATAGGAGGAAACGCGCGGCCTTCACCTGACTCGACGCAAGGTCGTTTTCAATTTATTATCATATTATTTTGTATTATATGAAATAAATATATTTAACTGAATCAGGATACTTATTAAGTTAATTTTTACCATACTATTCCGATTAGTTCTTAATGGTACATTATTAAATTATTGCTATTATTGTAGATTACATAAAATTAAGCAATCTTGATATTGTAAGAGTATTATAATTTATACAATTTTTACGAAAGCTCTAGAAATAGTCAATTATAAATATTCTTAAGAACAAAATGGATAGCTAGTGGCACGCCCGTTTGCTTCGAGTTGGAAATGCCGATTTCACCAGACTGCATGTTAGAAAGTTACATCTTAGCGTTCGAGATCACAATCAAATGCATGTTCATTAATGAGAACATTTTTGATATTTTATGAGTATTACAGAAATGTTTTACATAAATAGAAGCTCAAATGCTAAAATTAATATATTCTTTTACAGATTTTTTTTGAATGTTCGTCTAAGTTAAGTTATTAAATTTGGTTTAGTTGTGGGTGAAAATGTTTACTTGCAACTTGATATTATAAGATCATTCTAAAAACATACTTACATAAAACTGTCTACTTCATATCAATATATTTATATCAACGACTTTTCATTTATTAAAAATTAAACACGAGCCATTAAATTAAAAAGATTTAAATAAAAATGTTTCTCGATTATAATATATATGTTTGAATCTAAAAGAGTACACAAACACATTACATTAAAGTTTAAAACGTATATAAATACAAAAAATTTAATTAGAATTTAGAATAGATTCTAAATTACTAACACGCAAAAAATACTTCCTCATAGTTAACATCTTAATCTATGTCGAATGTTCTGGAATTTTCTGACGTCTTCATTTAGTTGATTGCTGATATTTGACCATAGATCTAGCTGTTAAATAATACATAATTGAAACGGACAAATAACAGGTGCCGTGAGCATATTCGCCGCGGGCTAACCGAGGTCTACATCTAAAAGTTTGGCACTGATTACTCTGTCAAAACTCTCATTAAGCCGCGATGAATAGGCGTTATTACTCAATTATTTAGTTAAATTAAAACTTCATTCGGACCAACACCCCAAGAAAGTCGACCTCGATAAGATTTTTTCTTTTAAGTTTGTTCGTGTAGACAATCAATTCGTGTGTCAATAATTATTTTCATAAAGTTCCATCCTTAGACCTACTTGATTAAAATATTTAAGTTTTAACGTGGCATTTAATAAATTAAGAATTACTTAAATATGGTTCTTAGTGCGTGTGAAACGTTTTATACACTTTGATCATTGACCTAAAAAGTGAAAATTCAATTGAATTTCAAAACATCATTGACAATAAGAGTGATGCGATTTAAGTGTTTTTCATTAGAAACGAAAGCTTGTAAAACAAATTGAATGGCACGTGGTTCTCGCTCGTTACATTATCGCAGGCGGATTGGCAGATATGCTATTCTTGGAGACGCATGAATGGAGTCCGATTATTTTGTTGTTTTTATGACGAGACCGAGAGAAATTTAATCATTAAATAACTGAGATTGTCGTAGATCTCTGATTTTAAAGTGTACGTTTAAAACTGACTATAGTTTGCTGCAATATACATATACAATTATACATAGTATGAAAAGTTACAAATTAGAACCTTTTTTAGTAAGATTTACTTATTTAAAAATACTAATTAGTGTAACTATAAAACCTGCTATTCTATCGATAACTATTCTTCAGTTAATGAACTGTTTACAAATTATTAGAATTCGAAATATTATTTATGAATACGATACTCGAGTATGTCCTAAATTTCGTCGCGTAATTCAAGAGAAAACATCAATCAAAATTACGTTAACAAAACACCTGTAACATTTGTTTTGTATTGGTGCGTTTGAGCAAATTCCACGAAAGCGACGTAGGCTCAAGGTTACACCACGCAACACTTTCACCGCCCGCAGTTCGTTGCTCTCCGAATTTTGCATCTCTGTATCAATGGCAAACCTCCGAACACATCATAAGTACGGCCTGGAGCCACTTTAAACTAAACCTTATTACCTTAAGAATAAATACCTAATACATATAGTCGATGCCGGTTTACGTTCAATGCCCGTGATAATAGCAACGAGAAACGTAACGTGGCCCGCTTTCTCTTTTAAAATGTACATAGTCTTTCTCTTACGAGTACACGCCAAACTTGGCAGAGCGAGATGACGGTATTAAAAAGCTCCGTCGGCAAGGCTCGCTTTCTTCGCCGCACTTGGCATTAGCACATAATCCGGTAACTTTCATTGGTATGACAGTGAGGATTCCGCAAGTGCGATTTTTTCGCAAAGCCACATTAGTTTGCACCTGACCTTTATTGCGTAATTGAGTTGTACTTGTCTAGAAAAAATGTATACTACGTATTGCACAATACGCCATGCATACTTTTTCATATAAATCTATCTATAACGTGACAAACCATAATATAAGACACATTGAATCGATTTGAAAATTCCAGTTTAACTTGTTCTCTAAAAGTAATATTTATATAGTACATAATTGCATGTAATTAAACAACTATGTTTACATTTCAATAACCTAAATCAAATATGATATTATCGATGTTGTTTTTACGCGCCATTAGAAATGTGGGGCACTGTATGGAGTCCGGTTTCTGATTCTCATTTCCCAATATTTCCATTCTCGTAGTTCCGGAAGTTCCGTAGAAACCTCGTTCCTATCGACAACCGATATCCAACTATCGTGTAACAGCAATTGACGGCATCCGCACTTGCTAAGAATAGAAACGCACCTACTCGTACTTCCCGACAAGCTTTTAATTAACCACACTTGTTATGGAATTATTTTTAATTCGAAGTTTCTTTTGTAAAAACATATTCATCTTTGTCCTGCATACTAAAAGTTTAATCGATTCGTTAAGGTAGGGGGTTGTAGGGTTATAAGTAACATAATATGGTACCTATTGAAAGTTATTTTGGAAAAAACAGGAAAACCATTAGTTTTTTTTCACTTCAAAAAATACAATAAAATAGGATTCATTACATACATGCTATTGATTTTGTGAATGAAATCTGTTGCTAATCGCCCGTAGTTTAATCATTTACATATAAATGTAAGGTATAATACTACTGAAATTGCTACAGGAAGGTATCATAATAATACTAAGGATTAAATGATTGTTTATTATTTTTGTAACCGTTTTGCGTAATCAGTGTATACATACATGCACAACATTTAAGCTTTTTCCATTAATATAAAAGTTAGTAACAATTTATTTTATTTAAATATGCTGACTCATAATGAAGTCATTCTACCAATAATCAAACGTATAAAATTCTTTCGGTGCATCAAAAGTACCAACCATTACGCACAATGCATTAAATTGTTCTACAAAAACTGATGGGGGTCATCATGGTCCATAATAATCGGTCGTGAAAGTTTTACAATTCAAGGACGAGGCCGATGCTCCCGATATTATGCAACATCGTGAGATAATGGCCTGCGCATAGGCCCTTGACTTTGTGTCGAAACGGACGTCGATTTAAGGACGAGTTACTTTTGACACGCTTTCTTTCAGTTGCATCATTCTTATAAAAACGTATTTAAGTATTCCGAGTTTATTTTTATGTGATGAAACTATTACGGTTCTATGATCCTGCGCTGACCACTTTCACTATTTGGTTTGTTCTAAATGGGTTCACTCTTACAAATATGTTACGTAACCGCAAACTCACTCACACTAAGGTAATTACATTCAGAGAAAGTGCTATATTTTTGGCAAAGAAACGTTCGTGAGAGGTATTTTATGATCTGTGTGTTACGCAACGTGAATTAAAAGTAATTGGTGAGACGGAAATTAAATGTTATGTGTAATTTAATTTTAGAAAATAATCAGTTATAATTAATATATAATATATATTATAAAACAGAAAGTTTATTTTGGTTGGTTGAACACACTAATTTCATGGACTGATTCGAATTGATAAATTATTTTAGTTTTTCATAGTCCATATATCGAAGTAGGCATAGTCTATTGCCTTCCCATATACGTGGACTTTAACATCACACTATTACCGAGTTACTTAGTCCCGCGTTGCACAGAATAAGATGTCATTATCATTTGTACAGTAAGGAGTTTTTAAGCGCAAAAGTTTCAATATCAGCATGTAATTCGCGTGGGTGAAAAAAGAATAATTAAATAAAAATATTGTCTTTTGTTGACCACCATTGCTGAAATACAATCGAACGTCGAATTATGTAAAAATTTCACCTAAATGTTCTAAAAAAGCTTTACTCAGTTAATATTTAAATAAGGCCTAATATAGCAATCACTTTTGGTCAATACTTACAAAGAAATTTTTCGGTGGCATAAATTTGCGTGTACTCTATACGGGAGAAAACCTGAAACAAATAAAAATATTGATAGATATACAACAATATGTACGTAGGATTTATTATGTAAAAAGTGCCTTATTATGCCTAAGTTCCACGAATAATAATTACAATGTTATAATGTAGTGTATATTATCTAATGCATTGTAAAGCCACAGACACCTTCCTTACGTCAACAATAGGACAGAAAGACAATGCATTATTTTCGCCATAATTTGACTTCCTTCGTAGCGCTATTGCGGAAACGTGAAAGTGAAAGCACCTAACTAACAATAGCCAAACAAAATATCTTGAATATCATTGTCCATATCAAAAAA